TACAACTACAACTGGCCCCGCTGCCGTCGCTTGCTGTTCGCTGGCAACAGAGGCATTCAGAGTTTCAGAGCCAGTGAGGGCGCAATGCGAAGCGCTATGAATCTAGAGATAGAGGCGATAGTAGGTGCTGTGTCGTGCGTATTGTCCTCCCGCGCGGTCTTACAGTTGTTGCCTCCTATGTGTCTTCAAGATATCCGGCTTTCCACCTGGGCTTAAGTCAGGTTGCGGCTGTTTCCACCAGCCTCGTCAATGCTTTCGCTCAGTTAGCAGAAACCCGTAGTGTTTTCGTGTCCTATTGGGCAACAGCAGCAGCGTGAGTGGCGACATTACTACGGAACACTACCTGGATTAAGCAGCGGACAAAGTCGGTGCTGTGGTTGCTACGATTTTGCCTAGATTAGCAAGCAAGGCCGACGAGTGTCAAACTAAAGGCTAAGAAGAAGGAGAGGAAGACCTACGAAACGACAACAACGAGGAAAAGCAAAAAGAAGTAGTGGGAGATGTTGGAAAGTCACGCTGACCCCTCGTTCCCATTTTTGCGGACTATTCCGGGCCGCAGCAAAACCCTAACCCGTCTGTTTCACACACACGTCGGTTAGTGCTGGGTCTATCATTCGTTTCTTTCTGTTGCTACTGCTGTTGTTTAGTAAGCGACAACGTTACCATCTGTCACAGCCCGGGGCAGCGACAATTGCGGCCAATACAGCAGACCAGCAGATTACAGGAGACAGGCAGAGGGAGGGCAAAGGCAGAGTTGCAGACTACGGTGACGGTGGCAACTACCTCTGCTACAATGAGCACGCGAGCTATCGCGCACGCAACGCAGAGATAGGCGGAGAGAAGCTAAGAGACCAAGAGAACGCGGTACTGTCCTTGCTGCTGTTCGATACGGGACACGGGCCCACGACGATAACATATTGACAATCAAGTAGACAACACGCGGGAGAATATGGGCAGCAACACGAGGAAAAGAAACGACCGACACTGAAGGCGGCTAACAGCCACGATGAATGATTTTTAGATAGAAAAAAAGCTAAATATCATCTCCCTTCTGCCGAGGAAAAACAACACTAACCGAAATATTTTATGGATTTATTAAACCAACTCTGTTGATATTATTGTGGGCTTCAGGAGATCGTAATAGCTCAGTAGTAGCTTCGAGGTAGTGACCGCCGCTCAAAGAGGGTGTTTGCAACAAGTAGACAGCGATAGGTAATAATTTAGGTATTCATTTTATTACGACTTTCCGAATAAATCAACGCAGTTTTTTTTTTTACAGCTAACAGGTTTGTAACGGTTTATGCAGGTTTCTAGGGTTTGTCACGAAGATCGAACACAACAAGCGCATACTCATGCGGCAGATACACAACAGTTATAGACATGCATAAGGGAGCACTGAACACAAGCATCTGTACGTAAGCAGACATGCGTAAAAGAAAAAATCGCGCACCTTCAATGAACCGACTGAGCAATCTATGGGTTTTCCTTCTTTGTCTCTTGTTTTTGCTTTTGCCGGTGGATAGTGGTGGTCCCCGTGTCATAAGTAGGACTCGGGACCGTAGACGGACCCTGAACCCTGTGAGTTCGACGAATGAACGTTTGTGTGCCAGGACGAAGCCCTAGTTGTTGGCAGGTAAAATACCACAATTGTAGGCCGACTTGACCCTGTTACCTCTGTTGTTAATAATCGTACTGTTGCCTCGTCAATGTTTTTGTTGGCTCTCAGGCTCTGCTTTTTGTGGTGGCAGTTAAAACGATACTGCTCGGCTGCGCCGCGATGATCTGCAGGCGACAACGTGCGCGGATGAAGGTAGGACAAAACAACAGCAACCACGGAACGCACAGGCCCCCAAACCTAGCAGGTCGTGCTTATACACTAAATCGGTGTTGAACGATGGCATAGAATTTCGAAAATCGAACTGTGCGAACGTTGTTGTCGTTGTTGATCCAGTGGCTGTTTTTGTCGACGATAGAAAGTAGAATAGCATATATATATATACATATATATATATATTTTGTACGGGGTTGCGTGAGTACAGGGGACAATAAGTGGTCTAAAAAAAAGTACTGAATAAGCAGGATGGCACAATTCGGTTAGAAGTTTGATCCTTTTTTACGGTTATACACGGGATTTAATTGTGTATTTCCTTCTATAACCCGTGTCAACCCATTTGTCAACTCGATAGATCTCTATTGCGTTGCAGCAGGCAGCAACCGATGAGACGAGGGCGGACGAGAAACAAACTGAGGCTGACTTAAATTATAACAGCGCCTAGGCAACGGCGTACTGTTACATTTAGCCATTCATCTGTGAATCGTCGTCATTAAGAAGTTCCATTAAACTGAAAAACCTTATTGATTATCGGATAAGCAGAAACGAAATGTCTAAATTAAATGTACACACATATATATATACCCGGATCGTTTTAACACAAATCATCATAGAAATCTGTAAAGTATGCACTCCTTTCACTTCGATCAGCGCTTGGTCGCAGCGTCTTCGAACAGCATCATGCTATAGTAATACAGAGGAGCATCGTATCATATTTTGTCGCCGATCCAAGAAGAAGCGGACTGCGTGAAGCTACGCGATCAAATTGGAACAGCTTTTATACAAACTATGAGATGCAGGACAATTTCACGGCCTCGGGAAAGACATTTCGCCTGGCTCAATCTTAGCGATGCCGACTAGTTACGGGCATTACCATCGTCGTTATTGACGCAGTTGCAACCCGAATGTATCGGGAGAAGCAGGACTCGTCTGGACCATGAATGCTCAACGCGGTTTATCGGTGGAAATTTCGTTCTTGCTGTTGCTGCCAGCGGACGGAACGACCAAATGTCATCTGACGCCGTCAAGAAGCATGGCGTAACGGCAATAGGTCTACAAGATAGGGCCAGTGCAAGTTAGAGCAGAGGAACTGAATCGAGACGCAAGACAAATCGCTTTAGCCGTTGCAGCTTCTCTAGATCCAACATCTCTTCTGCTCTCATCCGCAATAGCTGTTGCCGCCACAACAGCAACGAAATACAAGCATGACCAAGTGAGGGACGACAGTACACAAGCCTTGTGTTTCTCCTCCATTTACGCTAACGCTATCTCGTTTATCTATATATATATATATATATATATATATATATATACGTATTTGAATTTTCGCGCCCATACCCTGAACAGTCCATTCTGCTGCCTATTTATTTCGTTCACTTGACTTTGCGACTACTCAATAGCGAAGACCAACTCGGTGGGTTCGACGTGCTGCCACTATACGCGTAGACGCGGCAAGAACGACCGATTTCCTCAACGAACAACGGTCAACGATGTTGTACATATGGACGAGACAGAATGTTTAGTTCGACAATGAACACCGCATGTTTCACGTGACAAATAGTAAAAGACGCAGCAAATGAAGAAAGGTGAGCGAAAACGGGAAAAAAAAATACACGCCTGCAACTCGCGCAGTTTTAAGACAGATTGTAAATTCTCTAATGTTGTACGCTGTAATACTCTAATGTAACGCTCATGAAGATGGCGAAAAGGGGCATCCAAAGGTCCAAATTACATATGGGGACTAAGATGTATGACGTACGCAGAACACCATTCGTACTAAAATTCAATAAGCGTTATCATTACTACAATAGCCTATACATGAATAAAAATTTCGGGTATTCGCTAAACGTCCGTCTAGCAATTAGACCGACATGAACAGGTCGGTACAGCAAATTTATTTTATTTATATATATATATATATATATATATATTTTTTTTTTTAGTAATAGCAGATGATATATCCTTCGTTGTAACACAGCCGTCGCAGCCGGTACGATAACAAAGTACAGAAGTATTGTACCACTGTGGTTCAAACTCCCAGTCAAAATATGCCTCATCAGCAGGAAGAAGTAAGCAAAGCCCATAGGCAATTAGAATAGTCAGACGGAGAGCGACAGGCGTGTCCACCATTCGTATTGTCATCAACATCAATGGTGGGCAAGCCAACGGACGACCTGGAGAGCTTCCACGTTGTCTTCAACAGGAGGCCTGCACACGCGTAGCCGCAGAACATTACGGTCAGCCCTACGCACAGATGTTTCAAACCGTTCAAGATTCGAAAGCAACGAGAGTACGTCTGAAGAGCCTAAGCTAGCGTCGACTACGAAAGACTGCCGCACCTTTTTTTTTCTGATACTTCTTCCCCGTTTTCGAGTGCTTCGTCGTCGTCGTCGTCGTCGTTGTCGTCGCCGTCGCTCGAGTTCCTCTCCAGTTTGTCACCACCGTCGCTACCGTTACCGCTACCGCCGAGGCTTTAAGCCTGCCGTCGTTCGGGTGTTTCAAGAGGAGAGTGACGACTGGCGACTCCTTATGCGTAACAGCGACCCAATGGGCTATAGGCTGCAATTTGCCGCCTGAACTGCCTGGCCCCATCCATCTTCGGTCTCGACGCTTATCGAACGCGTGTCTCGGGCTTAACTCGAGAGAGAGCTCATCGCAGTAAAGCAATGCCTCAACACTTCAAATTTGACTGCTCACTCTACATATATCTAAGTAGGTACAAAGATTTACTTTGGAAAACCTTGGCTAGTAACTACAACACCTGGCAGCCGTTGGTAAAATTGTTATGTAACGTAAGCTGTCCATTAGCAAGGTCTTGCGACCAAACCAAATACAAGATCTCTTCTGTTTTCTTTTGAAAATATAGATGAATAGCGGTACTTTGCCTTCCGTGATATACTTACGTGTAAAATCCTGTTTTATTTCCTTTTTTTCGAATCACATACTTAACGTGTGCAATCATAACACACATCAAGGGATTTTGATAGGTCAAGGAAGTCGAATAGGTCGCTGGGCGAAGCATAATATCTCGCCATATAAATCACTTACGTATGTACTTCTACATAGCTATGAACATCTACATATTACGGTGCTCATGGTAATACAGCACATACGTCACCTGTTTTCCGCATTCAGCTAAAAACAAACTTTAAGGATCACCTAGACGTACCGTATCCTATAGTCTGTAAGGAGGCGCATCTTCCTGACATTCCGCCAAGTAGCAAAAGTTCTTCCGTTTCTTGAGAGTCCATGATAACCATATCGCTCCATGATGAATATCCGTTAAGTGTCCCATTTGAGCTTTGTCGCCACACCGAGGCAAAGTCGGGCCCAAGTGAGGCCAGTGTGGGGGCGGAAGTCGCTAGGCTCGCATTAAGTGGAGGGCTTTTGCTTCCCAGAGGGCCACCTCCACCTGGTGGACCTAGAGAGCCTAATGAACTCCCGAGCGGAGTAAGAGGCGCTCGGGCCGATACGACGACCGGTGAAGGTGGACTCCACATCTCGATTCCGCCGCTCTTCATCGGCAACACCAGCGGCATCGCCTCGGTCACGCTTTGGAGCACCAGCGTGCCGTGATGTTGGGCCGTCCGAGGACAGCCAGTGTTACGCACTCACAAAAATGTATAGTAGAACCGTACCGGAAAGGGTAACGGAGAGTGACACGATGGAAGTAGTGGTGAAGGCGACCGCTTTTGTTTCTCGGGGGTAACTTCCTCTTCTGAGTAAAAGGCGCGGTGCCTTCTATCCAAACAAACAACTACGCTTATCCGAGGGAGTCATGTGCACAATGGTTCGCAATGACACTTGTCCACAAAACTTGGTTTATATACATGGGGAGACATTCAACTTCAGCACGATCACCGCAACAACAACACCAACACTTAGTTAACATCAAGAGTCGAGGAACGCATATACACAATAAAATCGCATATTTCTTCGTGGCAAGTGGTAATAGGTAGTTGCTCTATTGTCCTTGATTGGTATGTGGCAAGGCCTGAACGTATTTGTCAACGTGTCGCAAGTAGTGTAGTTTAAGGTGTTTGTTAAAGAACAGTATCGATCACTATTCCTTTGTGTTAACTCTTTGCCCACTATATTGCTGCCGTCGACCACCGTTGTACTAACTGTTATGACACGGAGGACGTGTGCACACGTGTCAAGCAACTGCAGCTGCACACTCCGTGCGCCGATAATGGTCAACCTATTAGGGGTCAACCTATTATTAGAAAAAAGGGATACGGCTATCGGTGTTTTTAGAGCTTGTGCAGCACAATGCGTGCATCCAGATCGTCGACAGCGCGTGCCCCTCCGTCTACTTTCGCATTCGCGCGCGATCTGAGCGACTCGCGCCGGTGGCGACGGCCGCAGCAGCAGCGCGTGAGCCGGAGACCCGCCCGCCGGGAGAGGAGATGCCGTGCGTCGGGCAAGGGAATCGGCACACTTGGCCGGAACAAGCGCGCCGCAGCTGCGACAGCAGCAAAACGATCAAAAAGCCAACACCGTAAACGAAGTGCCGACAGAGATTACGGACGAACGCGCGACTGCCGCCATCTTCGTTTATATACGAGTCACACAGTTGTAGATGATATTGTGCCTATGATGGCGTGAGCTTTTATTCATGGTGCTAAGGGGCACCGATCGATAGATACAATTGCCTGTTGGATGTGGCTTCGTTGCTCTGCTGCGGGTGACAATGAAAAAACAACAAAAATGCGGAAGGATTTTCTTAAATTATGTTACAGCCTCCGGCTCCCTCCAGTAGATACGCAACATGAAGGCGTAGTCGTCGTAGATTAAAAGTCAAAGCCGCATGGACCTGCAACATGTCGTCCTTCAGTAGGCCAACTATGTCCATTATGAGGGTAAATAGATGGTTGTCAGTGTGGGATGTGCATTTTTCTCCCATACACCATTATTAAAATCTGGAACTGCTTGAACCTCGTTTGGACGCACTGTCAATTTGGCAGCCACCATCGCCATTAGGCATTGCCTAGACGATCTTCATTGTTTCCTCTTCACTTACCACATTCAAGTTACGAATTCATTTTTAAGATGTCGTTCATCAGTCATATTATGCGAAATTGTATTCTAAATTGTTTTTTTCTCTTTGATGCTAAAACGATGTCATCCTAGGCTGATTTGGAGCATATTATAATTTCTTTTCTGGCAAACTATCGCTTCTGGCTCTGATTTAAAACACAGGCCCAAACTATACTCAAACCCGGCGGACATATCTAACAATTGTTAGTCAAATTACATATTGGTGCCTATAAGTAATATGGGTATCCATATATTTTTTTTGTCAACATCGAATACGCGCTTCCGTTACGTGCACTTGCGTACCCATTGCGTGCCGACTACAACATTTCCCCGAAACCGTTGTCGTCTTAAGTCCTATTCGTCGTGATTGCCGCCACACATCGACAGTATCGTCGTAGACGTTAACAACAGCTGTCGTTCATGATTCTTACGATGGATGTTCGACTGTGGGGTTCAGCGTCACCGCGTGTTCCTTTCACATAAATAGTAAACATTCATACGCCAGTAGAATGTTTATGAACGGCTATCTCAATTTATCAAAGAAGCGATTCGTTTCAAAAATCCAAATAACATAGAATTTTTGCTTAGAGAGTACGGCGTGGTATGTACTTGCTACTCAAGTGAAACTTTCCTAAGACATCTCTACGATTCCGACGGTAAAGGCAGACCCAAAATCGAAATACGTCAGGAAAAGGTGCATGAACGAATCCAGCTGTTCATGATTCGCCCGTGATTATTCATCTAAAATAGCATAAAATTTATTGCCTTATTAGTATTATTCCCATGCATTATAGCTGCTGCTATGTTTGCTAAGAGGAACTTCGTTTTTGATATTAAAAAAATATGTCTGCATTTGTTCCAATTTGTTTCTTTCCGCTACTGCTGCCGCCGCCGTCGGCGTCTCCCGATGTTCCAGCGGTCCGCGGTCGTCCCCTCTCGCCGCATCGTTTCCCCAATTGAACTGTCTCACGCGAGCTCGCAAGTGTTGTGATCAGTTGCCGCACTCCGAAGAGTGGCACTCACGAAGTTCGTTCACTTCACAACAGCACTAGAATTTGCACCGCGCGCCCCGAGTATCCGCCACAGGCAGAGGCAGATAGTATCAGCTCAACCTGCCGTACTATGATCGTCGGCTTCTTTACACTCGTGCACACAGACGTGAGCAAGCCCATTTGTCTTCTTGGGATCATTCTTAATGGCCTCCCGGATCTAGTTGGGCTTCTTTCGCTCCTTGCAACTCTTGCAGAATTGCTTTCGGTCCTTTGGCTGTGGCTATATGTACAGTATTAGCTGCTCAGCAGAGAGTGATAAAGGGAAAAAATGCAACACGGGCTGCGCAATGCACACACCGGTACGTATCTGACCCAATGTGTGTTGCGCAAGTGTACGAAGCGCGTATTTTTGTGTATACGTGCATGTTAAAACTGCTACACCCAGACAGATTTTTCTATGTTATATACCGAAATACTCTTGTTCAACTTTGATCACTCTCTGCTTATCCTCTAAGTTCTACGATAATATGGCTACGGGGAGAGAGCTAGTACAGATACGATGGCAGCAAATATTTAGAACGGACGTTAACCGGTGTACCAATAACCGCTTCAATCGACTGGGTTGCTCCGTCGATTTGCAAGTACACGGCAGATTCGATGCGGCGAGAGCAGCGTTCGTTTCCACCTGGAAGGAATGGCAAAGAGCGGAAAGAACGAGCAGGGCCAGGGATTTTTGTCCATGTTGACAGTCTCGAGAATCGGGCTCTTGCCGTCATCGTTCGGCGATATGAATATGCCAAAATAGCACCCTGCTGTACATGATTACACGAAGGGACTGAATACCACCCCGATTCGATTGAGCATTATTAAATACGGACGATGGAGGAGATCGGAGCAAATTCTCTCGAGTTTTTCATACTGAGATCAGTCGCGCAGTATAACACAGGGGCATCATCACTCAGAAATCGCATTCGACTTTACCTGTACAGCGCAGCCGTTAAGCTAAATGGATGTTGGTCGATGGGTCTGTCAGTCTCCTGTTACTCTTGTCGCCATTTATCGAATAGTAAGCAAATCATCAGTATGGCCATTAAAGTTTTGATGACGAAAAAACTGTTTTCTACAAACGCATACGGGCAGGGATAACCGAATGGACCCAAACAACGAAATATGTACAAGGACGTCATCACGGCTAATACTAATCTGCACGCTAAGAAAAAGCTGACATTTTGTTGTTTCTGCATATTCTACATGTTGGACACAAACTGCCTTTTTGAGAATGGCTATCACCGACCAGACTTCAACTAGGAGTCTGAAACTGCTCAGAGCAGAGACAAATCACAGCTTTTATTTGCAAGAAAAAATGTTGTTTTGCCGTTATGGTTTCGTCCGTATATTGATCGCAAAAAGCGATACCGTCTATAGTCAACATGTGCCGAGCATTTGCTGATGATGCTCGCTGCGAAGAAGCCTTTCAGATCGGAAAGCAGACTGCCAATGATTGTTCTGTATTTCATCGATACAATCGTCTCTTGCCACCATTACCAATTAGTTTTTTTGACTGAAATAAGTTTAACTTATTCTTTTTGAACAACAGTCAGTAGACAATTCAGAGGTTGAATCGGAACGGTATCTACCGAATGCTATCGAACGGATGATTCTTGTGGTATCATCGTCATCGTTAATGCAATGCATCGTTCCAATATCATCGTCGCTATCATAATTACTTAAATTAGAAATTGGACCGATAAAAAATCTACATATGTACATTTATCTATAAGATCTCGTACGCTTGTTCCAATATATATGTATACATATATGTGCCATTTAGGAGCGACGGCGACGGCAGTTCTCTCTGTTCTTGTGCGTGTGAAAAGACCGCTGATCTGGGTCCAGGGCACATAATGATGTACATCAAATTCGCGCCCTCCTTTAAAGTAAATTATGATAATACGAAAATAAAGTAAGACAAAATCAAATCGTGTAAGCACAACCGGCCGGTTCGATGCCATTTTCGACTCACATTAGGACAACAACAACAAAACCCAATAGAGCAAACGCGATAATAGCAGACGATATGGATATGTGTTCTACATTTCTATGCATTTATTCTGTGACCGTTGTCGGGTTGACTAGTCTACGGGCGAGAGTGGAATTGATGGTTTTAGCAAGGTTCATTATATATATAGAACGCTTGATTTCGAAACGCTCATGGGCATTCCTAGCAGCCAGACGTTTAAAAGTGTTTCTAATAGTATACAGCTCGTTGTAAGTAAAATTTAATTCTACTGACAGAGTCATTTTAGACGACGAAAAAAGGCCGGCACTTTTGGTTGATCACCGAGGAACTCCCGTACAGCCATGTTATCATCTGTTTGGGATGTTTACCACTAATTAGCTGACGTTGCACTTGAAGAACCTAGAGACAACACGTGACAGAAGCAGGCGGTTCCTGGCGGCATGACAAGGATCCGTTTCTTCATTCCTTTCCTGTTTGACATCAACAAAAAACCAAGTCGCATGAAACCATCACAATGGTTTCTGCAATGACACTTTCTCTATATACTCGTTGTGATAGCTGAATTCGATAGCATCCTGTCTGTCTCTACTCTCCTCTGCTAGCGTTTCCTTTTAACAACGTTTCTTATTAATCTATCTTACTAGGAACAGATACTCAGCCGTATTATAATTAGATGGCTTATTCTTCGGAAACCATTTCGCTAGCTTTTTTCCCCTCCATGGTGTAGTTTCCTCCACCTCCTCGTTTTTCTGCCTTTCTAACCTCTCCGAACTGGCTATCTGTGAGCATAGGCAATTTTATAAGCCTAGCTCCACCACGATGTGTAGGCCACAAGCCAATAGGAATTAAATCTTGACTATGTCGTCTGTTAGCCAACGACGCCACGAAAGATATCGTTCCGCGGCCTATGTATGGCTTGCCACTGTGCGCCTGCGGCCACCGCTGTTTCGCTAGCACGATCGGCCCGTTCCAGCCGCTCGAAAAGAGATAATTCCTCAATATAAAATTGCCTCCTATTTTTTCTCGCTATTTCGCCGCTAGAGATTATGCAGATTTGCAGACGGCAGCGCTGCGATCGCGGTGGCAAGACAAGCGGCGCTTTATTCATTGGCTGTAAACACGTCGCGTTTTCATTAATTCATTCATTCAGCTCGCTCTGCTCCACCCTGCCTCGCTCGTTTCTTACCCTTAGTAGACGCCTAATGAACAACATTCGGCTTGGGGTGACGCGTCGGTCAATGCTACTATTGAAATACATTGCTGTCGCAAAACAAAATAGGTTTCCTCACGCCCATTGACCAGCCCACCTCCAGCAATCACTTCGTTTATCCAGGCTGAAAACCCGATTTTTTCGTCACTATATGGTGGTGCGCGAGCGCAGAGCATTCGTTCATTCTCTCGTTCACCCCCCTTTCGAAGACGAGGTAAAGGATCAAATGTATACGATCTCTACGTATGTGCATGCAATATATGCGCTTGATAACCAGTCAGTGACAATGCCGATATCAATGATGTTTATGAGAGTGATGATGCTGCCAACCGCGGTGCCGCGTCGTGCTTGCGGCTGTTATTATTATGGTCCTGCTTTGCTTCTGCGACGGCCGCTTCTGCTATCGTGAGAGAATGACTGACTGCACGACGCTCCGACACGGGGTGAAAAGAGCACCAGCGAGGCGGCAGGATCTCAGAGGCGGCTTTCGACAGGGCCGCTGATGTTGTCGTCGTAGCCATCTCGTCAAAAAGAATAGCGTTTTGAGAAGATACTGCCGATAGCGAGCTCATCGATTGTGTGCCGCTTCAGTGGACTCCGGCTTATTAAGAAACAGATAGTGAACGAATGAATCGAGCCGCCCAAAGCAGACCAGCCGTGTCTCAATCGCGGCGCCAACGCCGGAGCGAAGGGAGCATTAGCAATGAGTGCAAGAACGGCAAGAGGTTCGCGTTGACAGGTTCTGGATTAGCTGAATAATGATGCCAACCAAACGGAGTGTACACACATGGCTGTTGTTTCAGAATAACAGAGATCTGTTCTGGGTACGAATAGAATCCACTCTGAAATCACGACCGAATTTCTAGCTTATGATAGGAGTGAATCCGCTAGTACCTTTCTAACACAAATGCTTGGTCAGATACTACACGGCTACGGAGCTTTAATGCTATCTGAAGCATTAGTGACAAGGCTAGTTCAGAAGTATGATTTTAATGAGCAAAGCAATACTTCAGGGAAATTTGTTAGTCTTCAAGACGAACCCGTTAAGGTTCTCGCTTAGCATCGATGTGCTATTGATGGGTTCTTTCAAATACTTCCGCAGAATGACCAGAAGACGGGAGACATGCTACAACCTGACGAACAGGAAGTTTAGATAAAGCCATATTGTTGATCTGTAACAGACCCATCCGGGTCAACAACAGGACGACCGCTCCTACCAAACTAATCATATGATGCTATATAATATGCTCTCTATCCGTCTCTGCTGTGGTGTGTGTGTATAGGTTCATCTGCTAATGTTGCTAACGAAGCGAACTGACTCACAACAGACCTCCATTTTCTTTTGTCGTAGTAAAGACCCCCTGCTCAAGTGCAGGTATAACTTAACCAATTTATTTTTTGTATAGAATTATTATTTCTTAGTAGCAAAGATAGGTAGTTTGCGGTTCTATGTGAAAAATTAGCAGTGTTTCGCTGCTACCCGGTCCTGAAACAATATTAACAGCACGATCCATATGATGTCAACTGAAGATGCCAGCTTCACGCGGGACAGCGTGTCTTTGAATCATCGACACATTGTGTTCGATTGAAACGCTAACAAACTGATCCTCGTCATTTGAACAGCCGGCATATTTACTGACTGTAATTATTATAGATTTGAGCACTGCAGCAACGGTGCGACCGTTCAACACGATAATGCCACCACTGGTCCTATTACAATGCTAGCGAAGCTTTAGGCAGGACGAAAAGGACACAGTTGCGCGACAAGATATAATAAGTGACTGATTATATTAGGATCCCGGTGCAGCTGTGCAATTTCGTCACGAGACGGAGTCTGCTCACTACGATAGCCTTCTGAACGCGTGCACAGAACGGCGCGACGTTTGAAACGTATCAGCTTCCCACACCGACGTTTTCTTACGTCACACAGTAAATTCATCCCGGCTTATTATGTTTGTCAACAGTGTTTTGTAGACAACATTCGAATGAGTGTTTAGCTGTTCGGTGAGCAGATCCTAGTATTCTATCATTATGCTCTAGGATTACTGTGTAGGAGCAAACAGCAGACGGTAAGCTAGGCCATCGAATTCTCGATATAGAGAGATTTTTCTGTAAAATAATGTTACCCATATGTTATGAGTTTCTACTTAAAATGCGCACCGTATTTCCCGATAGTATATCTATAAGAACAGGCGGCAATGGGGCGTAACGGTAAATTGTAACTGATGCTATGCCGCGTCTAACAGTTACAAAGGCTCCATTTGCTGTCCTAATTTAGATCGAAGCTCTAGCTAGCTTTATTTATAGCACGATAGTATCGATGGTGGCCGAGAGGGGCTATGATCATTGCGAGTTCGAGTTGAATCGCCGTTACCAGCCTAGTGCCAATAGCGTTATACATGCATGCCCATTGCATTGTATTATGGAATTGCTTATATGTCAATGAAAGGAAATCCCGTTGCTGTGACCGTTGTCGACGACGGTGTTGATGCAGTCGGTTGCCATTACTATAACCTTAGGGTGTCCGTCAGCTACGAAGACGCGCACCTCATACATATTCAATGTGATTTGTGTAGGATAATGCCGGAGCCACAGTAACATCATTACTAGCATCGATACTGCCGCTTCAGCCGTCTGAGCTGTCGTTACTGCAACTGCGGCTGGCAAAAGAAGCGTGCGAACAGTACAATACCCGGTTAAGCGATTAAGCGACGCGTACCCGCTGGCGATCCGGGTGCAAGCTCTTTGCCGTTATGATTTGCACGCGTCATCGTTACCGTCATAGTACGCTAGTGGTACGTACGTGCGTGCGTCAAACACGTTCTATTGAGAAGCTGATGTTTGGTTGTTGCGCGGACTTAAGTGCACCAGCACCGATACGGTGACCACGTTAGCGCCGCAATACTGGCTCTAAAACGGTACATACGTGATAACTATTAACTGATGCTGTGGTATAACTTATTTCCGAGCGGAACGTCCACAATATGTTGTCCCTGCGTCACCGGCATTAGAGCCACGGTACACTGTAGCTCTTTCCCGAGCGCATTTTTCACAGAGATACATAATAGGATACAGATAAACTATCAGTCCTATGTGATAAAAAACTGGACTAGTTGTTCGTGCATGACTACAAACATTAGGCAGTCTGTAGGCGGCATACACATATCGATAGAGATTAAATATGGCTTATATATATCATGCCAAACACGAGGGACTTTGCAATTCCATATCACGGGTACTCTGCGCTGTAAGTATATCCTGTCGAGCCTCAATCATCGAGCTCGTTGTCCTTGCACCATTCCTCCTCTCGATGGATAAACCGCCGGCGTTTGATCAGGTAATAACATAGTAATAATAACAAAGTAAACATAGAAGTATGTTACAAAAGGTCTCTCGGCCCTTTACCTTCAACGTAGAGATCGGGAAAGATAATCGATAAGGATATTTGAGTTCTAATAAGAAACGATAGTGCACTGGAGAGCTCGCAACTTCCTTTCACATATGTAACTAATTTTCAGACGTCTATTCTTGTAATCGCGTGTTTCCCTGGCCGCAGTCTAAAATTTCCTAATCGTATTAAGTGTGAAATTACAGCAGCAGATGAAGTACGTTTGCCTAAAGTTATTTGTATGTTGTTCCTGGCCTTAATCGTAACACCTTTGTAGTACAGTGAATATATTTCAACAAGGATATGACGGATGAATCCGCAGCCCTTACTATTTGTCGATTCCACAGTCGACTGGAATAGAAGGCTGAATACGTTAGAGTTCTATGAAACCCGAGGCTGAAGTACTTAAAGTATTCAGTTACATACGTACGTATTATACAAATACTCAGTCATAGAAGCGCATATACAGAGCGTGCGCGCGCATGACTGAGTATCTATAGAGAACGGTGTTTTCTAATCAGTCATGGCAACGAATTCTAGACGCAGTGAGATAATGACTTCTTTATTCGTAAGCCACCAGCAAGAGCTCCATTAGAGCGGACTTTTCTATCCGATTGGAACTGGCGACCGTAGCAACAGCTACCATTGAGTGAGTCTGCAAATTTCACCAGATATGTAAACTTTGTTGCAGATTTGCCTAGCGGCAGATTCAGCTAGCGTTGTCAGACCACTTGAATGCGTCCGTTGTACCATATGTGTCGTACGTCTTACCCACGTCAACGGTCGTATAGTGCCAATAATGATAACGCGATGAAGCAATGCACTACTATATCGTGCCTGAAATGCTTTTATTGTTAGGCGTCTACCAATCGACGAAACCGAAATCCAAAAATCGGACAAAGTTTTGCATGTGGGTGCGCCGATGCCACTACAAGCGTATGTAGCAGCTTCAACATGCGCGTAATTAGGCAATGGTAACTCCCTGGCCTACCTACATACCTTCATTCTTTATGTATCTTAGGTAATATTGACGGATCATTCCGCAGCCGTTGGTATTGCACCATTGACTGAACTAACCAATGAATGAGTCTCCTCTGATGCCACCCGATTGGAAGGGCGTGGTGGGCTCGTAGGTCCTTACCACAATGGCCTGGCGTTGGTGCTGCTCACACTTTACCGGACATTCGCTGTGGCCACTTTCATATTACCACTGTGCTTCGACCACTTAGTGTTATTATCAACACCATGTCGGCCGTTATCGTCAGCGGCAGTAATAGTAACAGCAGTAGCCGCATCAACGTCATCATTATAATCTTCATCAGCATCTTCACAGCGTCGACCAAGCGCAATGGATACAATCAGCTCTTCACTCCCTTTTTCCCTACTCGTTCTCCCTGACAACGATTCGGTGCGGCCAGTAATTGTCGTTTGCTTTCTGCAATGCCATAGCGCCGCTATGGAAGAGAAGGTCGTACAGGAGTAAGGGATCCAAATAGGTTTGCTATATTTTATCAGACTTACAGCTGGCGCCTCTGCTGAAGCTTCAGACGAGTGAATGGCTTATTTATATCTTTTTGTATTCATCGCGAGCCAATATTGGTAGCGGGACCAAATCCCGAAGGATCTTATTTGACTCGATTGGTGCGAGATACACACGTGCGCGTGTTTTTACTTTTTGATCGCTGACACGCGCGTTCGCTGTTATTTCTCTGACTTTTGTTGGTGCTCTGTTAGCCACTCTAATTGACTCTAGCCAATAGATGAGCAGTCGCTTTGCGTCTTCTCAGGGGCGCAACGCCCTTCTTTGTCACTAATTGCCAGGAACAATGAGTAGGCGAAGGCGGATCGTCCGCGCTCACCTACTGCTTACAGAAACCATTAGATAAAGACGATAACAAAACTAACCAGGAACGTAGTAAAAACCAAACACAGATATTCTTTTCTCGATGTTTATATTTTTACGGCCGCGAGTTATCGGCTATAGAAAGTTATCGGAGAGACTAACAGTTACTGGAAAACTTGTTTCAGATCTAACCAAAAGTGATCGTCGGTCTATTTAACCCAAACAAAGCAGCAGTACGTTCACCCATTAAAAACAGCTTATTTAGAAAAGGGCGAGTAAAATAACCCGAA